GCAGTCCCCAGTATCACAGCAGCTGATCTAGTAAGCAAGACAGATCCCAAGTGATTGACCTGTGAGTAGCAATACAGTGTGGACTCTCTAGGCAAAGAGATGATTCATGTCCTAGGCAGGACAGATAGATTTCATCATTTTACTCAGAAGAGTATATAATTTGAAATTTATGAATTATTTCTAAAGATTTCCATTTAATATTTTCAGACTGTAGTTACCCACAACCACAGAAAGCAAAGTTGGAGATAAGGCAGGGATCAGGGGACTGCTATACTTAGGTGTACTGTTGATACTAGCACTTGTTAAGCCCACAGGGGTCATGTTTGGTCACATGGCCAGACCTAGCTGCAAGGGAGACTGGAAAAAATCTAGTCTTTAGTCTTCTCACAGAAATGAATAAACAAACAAGCAAGCAATGAAAGGTTTTGCTGGACTTGATGTCACACATCAGCAATTCTAGCACTCCAGAGTCTGAGGCAAGTTTAAAGCTTGCTTAGGGGAAATAATGAGACCACATCTTAAAACAAAAAATTCAAGCTCTATTGTTATGGAAAGAGAGGGGAGAATGGCTCCTGGCAGACAAATGGGGCTAGTATCACACCCTCTCACTCCTTTCTACTTCCTGTTCTGCCCCACTTTGGGTCTAGGAACTAGTCATGTTACCAGTTTCCACAGAGGAGGTACTGCCATCCAACAAGGAAGTTCAAAGTATTAAAGACAGGCCAACATTAATGCTCTGGCTTCAGGGAGGAGAGCTGGAGCCCCACCCAGGCAGCTCCTTTTTACCTTCCTGGTTGGTCCCTAAGAGTTCTTGGGAGCAGATTTTGAAAACTCCCACTGTGACCCTTCCAGGAACAAGACCCTAGGTATTTAGGTTTGTCTTTTTTTTTTTTCTGAAACAGAGTTTCATGTATCCCCAGGTTGGCCTCAAATTCTCTATGAATCCAAGGACAGGGGGCTGGAGAAATGGCTCAGCAGTTAAGAGCACTGGCTGCTCTTCCAGAGGACCCTGGTTCAGTTTCCAGCACCCACATGGTGCTCTCAAGGGATGTGATGCCCTCTTCTGACCTCTATGGGCATTGTATGACATGGGTACACTTAATACAGGCAGACAATACACTCATACACTTAAAATAAAAATAATATTTTTTATAAATCCAAGGACAATGTTGAAGTGCCCTATAAGCAGAGGGAACAACATTTGTAAAGGCGAGCAGTAGCCAAGCTTGGACTCCCTCCTCTCCATGGCTGAAGATAAACATTGCAGTTTGTCTGAATCACTGAGGATTTTTAAAATTCCTGAAAGTTCAAGGCCAGCCTGTGGCTGCATAGCAAATTCTAGGCCAGCCAGGACCACATAGTGAGATTATGTCTCAAAAAAATCAAGAGACCAGAAATGGTAGCCCACACCTTTAATCTCAGCACTCAGGAGGCAGAGGCATGGGAAGCTCTATAAGTCTTGAGTCAAGCCTGGTTTACAGAGTGAGTTCCAGGCCAGTCCAGGCTACATAGTGACACCCTATCACGAAACAAAACAAAACAACAAAAACAAAAAACCCAAACCAAATCAAAACACCAGAGCAAACACATTTATTTAGCCAGGCTTGGTGGTACACATTTATAATCCCAGGAGTGGAAGCAGGAGGATCAGGAGTTTAAGGCCAGCATTGAGCTCATAGCAAGTGTGGAGCCAGCCTGGGTCATGTCTCAAACCGTATTTCCAGCACCCTACTGGCTTCCTCTTTTCTTTTTATTTCATTTAAAAACCTTTAAATCTCTTTATTATTTTAATTTAAAAATTTTTTTGAGACAAGAGTAGCCCCAACTGGCCTGGAACTTGCTATTTACATCAAGTTGGCCTCCATCTTACAGAGATCTCTCTGCCTCTGTCTCCCAAATGCTGGAACTAAAGGCTATACCCCCAGGCTACATTTATTGGTTGACTTATTTTGTGTATTTATGTGTGTGTGTGTGTGTGTGTGTGTGTGTGTGTGTGTGTGCATTAGAGCCACATAGTACATGTCAGAGGACAACTTGAGAGAATTCTCTCCCTTTACTAAGTGGGTTGCCGGGGATCAAGCGTGGGTTGTCGCGCTTGGTGGCAAGCGCCTTTATCTGCTGAGTCATCTCACCTGCTTTGTGGCTTCCTTTTTTCCACCTAAAAGACTCCCCATCACCAATCCCCAGCTAAGGCCTGGGGTACATCACAAGGATGGATGGACTGGGGTGTGTGCCATAGTATTATGTGTGTGGCTGCATGTTTTCTGAGAGTTTGTTTCCGGAATCAGTTTCTTGTAGGTGTCCGTAAAGCGAGAGATAAGAAACCCAACTGGGACAGACAGTGGGGAGGTCAGGCGGGCCTGCAGGACTCAGCGAAGAAGCTGTGTCACCACGACCTCGTGGGTGACACGGAGTTGATAAGGCTAGTGATCCTCCAAATGGGACCTGTGCTAAGACCATACGAGTTCAAGGAAGTAAGCTCCTCGGCGCCCAGAGGGTGCGCTCGGAACACACCGGCGTCGCGCAGCTCGGGGTGTGGCCCGGAGGCCAAGCTCAGCGCGCACCCACGTGGGGACCCCCCAGGTCAGGAAGGGGGCGGGCACAGGTGGGGCGGGCCGGGGGCGGGGCGGCGCGCGGTTCCGGGATCCGGCTCCGGCCTCAGCTTGGCTGGGTACGCAGGGCGCAGCTGGCGGGCGCATGTTGGGGCGCGCGGTGCGGAGGCGCTGCCCGAGGGGGCTGCGACGGAGCCGGGAGGTGCTGCTGGTGCTGCTGGCGCTGGCCGGGCTGGGCGCGGTGTTGCGGGCTCGAGGCTGGGCGGGGGGCGTGAGGCCCTGGACCCGGGTCGTGAAACCAGCTCGGCGTTCCGGACGCCTCGAGCCGGTGCTACCCCGGCCGGAGCTGGAGCCCAATGAGCTGGGAGCTCAGGGCGAGGCTGTTCAGCTGCAGCTGCAGGGCGAGGAGCTGCGGCTGCAGGAGGAGAGCGTGCGGCAGCACCAGATCAACATCTACCTAAGCGACCGCATCTCGCTGCATCGCCGCCTGCCCGAGCGCTGGAACCCGCTGTGAGTGGCCCAGCGTCATCAGACGGAGGCGGTGCAAGGGGGGTCCTTCAGGGGACGGGGAGGCGCGAAAGTTTATAATCAACCAAAACAAGAGTCTAGGGGAGTCGGACATGGACGATGTTGCCCCGCCCCCTCCATTCCCCCAAATTGTCATTCTGTCTGGAAGGGTGACCCTCGGGCCCAGCGAACTGGCATAGAGACACCCCACCCCCAGGACGCCCTCAGCTTCACCGCGCCTATGGTGGAGTAGGAGCTGCGGATGTGGCTGTGACCCTGCCAAGCTGATGACCACTAGGGTAGGACAGGCTCCGTTCATTCATTTGGGTGTGCCGGTGCCCAGGGATTGATTGAGCAGGACCGATGGAGCCGGTTTGGGAGGCGAAAGTGGCTGGAAGGCGGAGGCCCAGGCTAACAGCTGCCTTTCTCTCCAGGAGAGTTGAATTCCTAGCTTTGGGTGGAGGATGGTGGGGAAGGGTGCTCTTGGCTGCAGTCCAGCCCAGCTCACTCCTGTGGGTGGTGCAGGCCCCCAGCCAGTGCAGTCAGAGCCTAGTTCCTGTTGTAGCTGCTGGCTGGTCAGCAGGGGAGGGAGAAGGAAACAGCAATGGCAGGGAAGCAGGTGGCTATTCCCACCTTTGCCCCAGGGCCTCCTAGCCTCTAAGTTTGTCAGGGACCATCCCCTTCCCACTTGAGCTCTGTTATCACTTTCAGGAAAACAGGACTGAGAAAGGGGTCCTGGTTGGAGTCAGGAGGCACTCTGTTGTGAGCCTTAGGCACTTGCCACCTTCTGCTCTCCAGGTCATGCTTTATCAGTTTGGAAATGGGCTCAGAGGGCAGAGGTTAAGAGGCTAAACTGCAAGGCGTTGAAATTGGCCTTCAGGGACTATAATCCTCCTGCCCCCTTGGTGCCCTGCTGATCTCCAGACAAGTTTAAGAACAGACTTGAACTAAACATCCTCCCTATTTTTCAGATCTGCACATGCCTACCCCCATGATTATTCCCAGGGCCTTTTTGAGTAAAACTTGGCAGAAGTTGGCAGTAGCTCTCTACTTCTACCGCATAGCTCAATGCAGGCTTAGCTTCTTGAAACCCCAGAGGCGTCCACCAAGGCCTAGAACTAGAGGATGGTTTCAGGTTATATCCAGAATTTACACTTAAGCTCTGTGACATGCAATCTTGGGTCTTTTGTGATCTAGTTCCAAGATCTGTTTTGTGATCTGAAACAACTGATTTAGCCTTTCATTGATTTAACTCCAGTTTTTCCGTCTGCAAACTAGGGAATACATGAAAATCAGTCTGTACACTCTCACAAGTGGGTAGCAAGTATGCAGCCTCAGAATTAAAAAGACACAATATGTGGGAACACATGGAGTATTCGTTAGTTATTTCTCCTTTTCCTCTTGCCAAGAGTATATTGAGGTTGCTTTAGAGAGTCATCCAGGGATTGGTCATGAAGTTTTTCTTTTCCAAATCCAATTTCCTTTATTGTTAGAGGCAGTGCATATCTCTGAAACACTCTGGATGACCTGTGGGGCTCATAGTATCCTGTCTCCATGGAGATGCAGCTGCCTTCTGTCCTGTCAGGATTTGCCAGTAGATCCTGCTGTGGCATTGACCCTGGGAATTAATCCAAAACAGCAGGATGGGGCTGTGAATGCCCCTGCCTCCAACTCCTGCACCGGAGCCTGTCCCATTGTTCTTGACCAGCCAGAGAGAAAGGTGGACTTGCGCTGTGTGTGTCTCAGCCAGGATGGGCTTCCAGGCAAAGCTTCCAAGTGGTCAGTAGTGTTAGGGCCTTGCATGGTCTCACCTTTATCATATAATAATCTACCTCCCTTATTCTCAGGGAACAGGTTCCCAGATCCTAGTAGATACCTGAATTCTCAGATGGTACCAAACCTGTGATACTATGACAGTCAATCTGGTAACAAGAGGGACTGCTAAGTGACTAATGGGTGGGTATTATATACAGTGTGGCTACACTGAACAATGTGATGATTTGTGTTCTAGAAAGGACAAGATTTTATCATGCTACTTGGGAAGGTATACTTGAGAATTGTTTGTTTCTGGAATTTTCCATTTGATATTTTTAGACTACAGTTAACTGAGGAACCAAAATCACAGAAAGTGAACCCACTTATAAGAGGGGGGACTGCTGGAGTTCCTACAGCAGCAAGTTGAATTTTCAGGTTGAAAATTCAAATAGTAGATTATGAGTTCACAGAAAAGGATGAGGGCCATAGGTGTCCAGTTAAGAAGCAGACGGGTAATCAAGGGCCCTGAATGCCAAGGAGGGAGAGACCTGTGAGGGAGGCTTCTAGACAAACCAAAGGAAAAGCCATGCTCCCAGGATCACCAGAAGGTCTGGGACAGAACTGGCCTATTTCCTTCTTTGTTGGGGACAGTTATTTATTGGTTTATTTTGATTATAAATAAAGCAAAATGCTTTTGCTTCAGAAATTTACCATAGGTGGAAAGCCAAAGCAATCAAGTAAACAAACCACAAAAGAACATTAAGCTAGACATGGTGGTGTAGGTCTGTAATCCCAGCACTTGGGAGGTGGAGGCAGTATAGTGAGTACCAGGGAGCCAGAGCTACTTAGCAAGACCATATTAAAAAAAAAAAATCAACTTACTACCTAAGGAAAACTGTTACTAACATTTTGTTGTGTATCTATCTGCACCCCTCTCAAATAGATTTTGGAAAATATACATATAGGTGTGTGGCTGTGAACATTGTTGAACATGAGTGCACATGCAAACCCACACATTTTTACTACCTTTTCATTGCAGTGCATTGGAACAACCCAAGGACCATTTGCTTTCGCTCGTGCTGGCACATGCAGTGCTTGGCACTGTCTCTGCCTTAGGACAGGGCCAGACCAGTAAAGAGACTTTTCGGGGAGATGCTCTGTTGCCTTGAGACACCATGGAGGATCTTACAGTTGTATGCACAGCTTTGTTTTGTTAGTTCCAGTGCTGACTTGAGAAGGAGGAGACCAGGAACCCTTGGCTAGCAGTTGAGTAAATACAGGGTTTGCAACTCTCACCAGTACCCTCTCATTTTATCCCAGAGGTGGGGGGGGATTTTCACTCCTACATGATAGCAAGCCAAAATGGAGAGCCAGATAGCTGGCTTTGCAGCCCTTGGGAGCTTTGTGAAACTATTAATGCCAGGGACCTTCCCCAGGAAAATGAAATCAAAATTTTTGTGGCTAGGACCCATGCTGAATCTGGTGTGTGACCCTGGCTGAAAGTTGCCGACCTACTTAGTCCCTGTAGATTTCTGCCTCAGAGGAGTCATGGAGGGAGCTTTTGACAGTATGGCAGAACACCAAAGATAGAAGACGTGATCAGTAGTAAGTCTAGTGCAGTTGAAACTTGTCATGATGATCGCCAATTAAGAGGTATGTTACAAGCAAAGAGTTAATAATGTATTAAAATTGGCCAAAAAATAATAGTTTTCATAAAATACAATAAAATGGTAATCATTGTTATTTGTATTCTGACCTAGTTGGTAGGAGAGAAAGTAGAGTGGTGGTGCCCCACGTGTCTCTAGGCTCAGCTATGGGGATGCTGTGCATGCCAACCCTGTGGAGTTGTGTTGTACTATATGCCACTGGCTAGGAGAGTGCAGTTCACATGCATGTTTGCATGCTTTCATTCATGCTGTAGCTGAATGGTGTTTGAATTCAGAGATTAGGACTTGGGATGGGAAAGAGGCTCTGAGTAATTCCACATAGTTACTTATCTGCAGAACCAAGTGTGCCCGCTAGAGCTGGCAGAGGAAATGGGTAGGATTTCCCTTTTCTTCAGAGCGGTAGCCTGCTTACCTGTTCTCGTAGAAAAATTATGTTTGTAAAATATCGCATGTTGTGTGGACATTAGACCAATAACTATTTTGCTTCTCAAATACGATTGTAAATCGTAGGATGTTTTTGTAATCTTTGTCAGACCCATCTGGTCCCCAGCTGCCGTTTTTTCTTTTCATCAGCACATCAGACCCACAGAACCTGTCCAGTTTTAGGTCCCAGTGTTTGGATCTGTTTTCTTGCTTTTTTCTTCCACTCGTTCTGGGCCCATATGTTTTATGTGTACCACTAGCTAGCATGTTGCTCCGTTTTATATTGTCATTAAAAAAATTGGGGCTGGGGGGCTGGAGAGATGGCTCAGTAGTTAAGAGCACTGACTGTTCTTGCACAAGACCTGGCTTTGATTCCCAGCACCCACATCGGGGCTAATAACCATCTGTGACTCCAGTTCCAAGGGATCTGATGCCCTCTTCTGACCTCAGAGGGTGTTGCGTGACATGGGTACACTTACACACATGCAGGCAATATACTCATACATATAAAATAAAAAAATATTTTAAAAATTGGGGCTGGGAAGATGACTCAGTTGGTAAAGTGCTTGCCACACAAGCATGAAGACCTGAGCTCAGATCCCTAGCACCTACATAAAAGCTGGGTATGGAGGTGCACGTGTGTGTTGTACAGTACTGTATCTGCCAAGCATAGCAGCCATCATCTTCATCAGAGCAGCTGTGATTACTTACAAGAGACCCCCACGATCATCTCTGTTGACGTTCCCTCATAGAACATAGAGGAGGGGGTAGGGAGGTGAGATTCTGCCTGCTTCCTCTGCAATTCTCAGCCCTCTGTATGTCATTCTGCCCATGGCCTTGTGGTCTCGGGAGGTGTTAGAGTGTATAGCATTGGGAAGGCTGGCTGAAAGGGAGCGTGTCTATGCAGCTATGGGAAGTCATCCTCATGCTGAGGCAAGACTTTTTCATGGTGCAGTTGCTTTGGGGTTTATCCATGAGCCTGTAAATAATCCCAAGAAACTCACCAGTTCCTTAAGTTGGACTTTGGTGGAATCATACTTTTGTTTGTCATTGGTGCCATATAAGGAAAGGGTAAACGTTTAGTTATATGTTCCCAGGGCAAGAGTTCTCACAACAGCCTGTAATCCTAGTACTGGAGGTAGGAGTCTGGAGACAGGTAGATCCAGGTGACTTGGTAGCCAGCCAGTCTAGTTCAATCCATGGGCTCCAGGTTCAGTGAGAGACCCCGACTCAAAGATAAGGTAGAGAGCAGTTGAAGAAGATACCCAACCTCTGACCTCGAAACACAACACATACAAAAATTCCACTCAGTG